ATTAAACTAGCAGAGTTTCTATATGGGCAATTGCAAGACAGCAAAAAATGATACTTGAAATTATGAAATATAAAAATATTAACACATAAGATTATGAAAAGTTTCTGATATATATTTAAAAAAAAAATTGTATTTATTTACAGGAGGAATATAAAAAATTAGTTGAATTAAAAAATGAAAGAAAATAAAAGAGAAGAAAACATCTGAAAAGCCCAATTAGAAGAATGTGCGCAACTTATAATATCCATTGTCATTCGATGGGCTTTATAGGCCCAGTGGCGATCCGATTGAACGGGATTAATTGATTGATGTAAGGTTCCCTAATTGATTTTAACATTTTTAATTGAAGTTGTAGTTAGTCCAACTGCAAAAGTTAAAGTGGAAGAGCATTTCGAATGAATTATTAAAAGAATAATGAACTTTTGAGCAATTAATTTATGTTTTTTGGTATGGATTGTGATACTTATCATTATAAATTTTTGCAAAATTAATGTGACACTTAGAAGTGTGATTTGCCAGCTTTTTATGTAACTATGCAACATTTCATATCATAAATTTTTTCTCGTCATTGACTCACTGTGTTTTTAATTTTGCTGAAGTTAGCTAAAAAGTCATGCCAGCTGCAAATAATAGTAACCATAACTTCTTATATTCTTAAATGTTACGAGCCTAACCGAGCTCACCATACTTTTTTAACATAAATACATATTCATGCTATGAAATAATGAAATAATATACTTGTGTATATATTGTTTTTTAGAATACCACGTTCTAATCTGAAAAAACTATGATAGTCTAACTATCAAGTTTGCTAGTTTCTTGGCATCTTTTTTTAGTCATTTCACTAATATAGAAACTTTAATTCTATAATATAAGATAATTCACTTATATTCCATGAACATATTTGTATTATCCATTTATATTTCTAAAATTATAGTGATCAAATGAAAGCATAAAGAACATTTGTAACATTACAAGAACAAAGTAGAAAAAGGTAATTAGAGGGTGAATTGAAAAACTTAAGAGCACCCCACTTTGGAAAAATTGATGGTAGACCTAACATATCAAAGTGGCATAATTAAATTTATTAGGTAAAGTGGAATAATTAAATTAATTATGTAAAGTAACATGACCCCACTACCTGATGATTTCATAAATCATAAATGATGATTTCATAAATCGTAAATTATAATTATGAAATAATCATGGACTAAAACATCATTAATACTTCTCAATTATACGAGTCTGTCCTTAATGACATCAAATCCCATTTCAGTTGGATCTGTAGCTTGGAGTTCAAAATGGATGCCATCTAAAGCTCTCCTCAATCCATCTTTTGAGGTTGCATAAAGCATTTTGGCTCTAATTCTTGATGCTGTTGGGGCCCTGTAAATTAATAAATATTCAAACCCATCAATTATCTTTTTTATTAATTATCTATCAATAAGATAAACATGTCATTAATTAGCTTTCAAGAAAGCAAAATCATATTATTTTTTTAACTCGAGTAGTTCAATCATGAATATGGCCTGTTCCAATTATTGCAGGTCTCGATTGATCATATACAACTTAAGAACACAATACACAATCATTCCATAAATTTAATCATAAATCTCATAGTAATTCTTGTAACTAGTAATTCAATCAAATTCGCGTGAGACAGCCTGTCACACTCTACTGTATGAACAAAAATGTATACATATATTATCAAATGTCATACACTCTGTCATAATACTTATGTTTATGATGTTTTCTAAAGTATGACATTTTCTAACAAAAGTATGCTGACCTACAACTAGGGCTGCAAAAGAACCGAGAGGCTCGCGAGCGCTCGAGTCAAAGTTCGGCTCAAGCGACTCAAACATGTTATTGAGTCGATCTGCAGCATAGGCTTTGGAAGGTCGAGCCACTCGCGAGCGGCTCGAGATATGTAGTGAATTACTACACTACTCCTTATATATAGATATTGTAATATTTTAATAGGTGTACTTAATCGTAATTTTACTTGAAATTTGAGTTGAACTCGAGCCGAGTGAGCAACCTTTCGAGCATTTTTATGTCAACCGATTTTGAGCCGAGCTCGAGCGATTGTCTTCTTTTGTCGAGTCAATCTCGAGCATCATAAATCGAGCTCGAGCAGGTAAAAAAAAAAAAAATCAATCGGCTCGGTTCGTTTGCAGCCCTACCTACAAGTTAAGATAGTCTGACATAAGAGCCAACTGTATAAAGTACAAAACACACAAAAAGTCACATTACCATGCAATGAAGAAGATCTTGCTCTTGCGACAATTGTCTACGGTGACAAAATCGAAATCAAAGACAGCATATCGGCAGTCATCGTCTGGCAGAGCTGCCGCCAGGTCATCGTACCCTTGTGCGGCGGGCCCCACCTTGTCCACAGTCAGCCGCTTGGACCCCTCGTCGATCTTGAACACTATGTACCTATGCACCTTCTTCCACTTCATCTCCATGAACGACTCCTTGCACTCCTCAGCGACCTTCATACCCATCGTCGCCTGTAATTAAATAATATTTAGAAATAAATAAATAAATAAAACACAAAGTAATAAAAAAGTGTGTGTGTGTTTTTTGTGTGTTTACCATCTTGAAAGCCATGGCCATGATGGTCAATTTTCTTGCTTAGCTGAGCTGAGCTTGATGATAAGAATGGTTGAACAATTATGGATGAGTGATGTTTTTTGTTTTTTGATGTTTATATAGAATATGATGGGTCAGTTTGCCACTTGTGTTGTGCAATATTACAAGTGTGGCCACATTAGATAGGTTCATGATTGTATTATGGGGGAGTGGGGGGGGACCCTATAGAATAGAATGTTGCATAGTAGTACATTATTTTATTTGTATTCTCTTTAGAAAATGAAACTACCATTGATAAAAGGGATATAATTACAAGACCCTATTGAGACTTGACTGGTTGACTTCATAATGAAGAAAAACATTTCAAACATAAATTTCTGAGTGTTTTTTCATTAATCCCAAGAAAAGTCAATCTTACCCCTATGGGTGCTGCCCTCATGGGGTTTTAAACATCCAATCATACACACTCACACTGCGTGTAGGTGTGTGTTGATCCAACGGTCCAAAGGTGAATTTATATGCAACACATGAAATGGTCCCCTATTTATATGAAAAACCTTGAAATCTTCAAATCTTAGCTATGAGTTGCTCAGGTAATCTTCACGTTCAAGCAAAGGAAAGAAAAAAGTTACTATTCCACTTTAAAATCTCTCCTCAAGCACTTTAGACTTGGAAATTTCGGATCCCAAGTTCTGAGTTTTCCCACAAAAAATGCCCCACCATGGAGTGTAATGATCAAAACAGAGCATACATTAATTGGGCCCAAGTACATAGGATAAGGCTAATATTAGTTTAATGTAACTTCGCTTGAAATTAAAAAGATGTGACAAAGAGAATCAAGAAAATTTCACAAGTTTACAAGCACTAGAGTCTAGAAAGATATATATGTCAAAGCAAATCAGCAAAAAATCAGTGCACACACTATGAAAAGAAATTTCCTTACCAATTTTGTACAGCTATATAATGCACCGAACTCATCATAATTGGACGCATATCTTATCTGATAATCTAACTTTTTATGTTGTGAAAGTTTAATCTACCAATTTATAAAAAATCCGACGTTACATGTGGCTACATGAAGGGAAAGGAGAAAACTTTTTAGTATGAAATGCCTCTTCACAGTGTCCTTTAGTACATTTGAATGATATATAAACGAGTCTCATATATCCCATGCGGAAGTATGCAGATATTATGTATAAAACAAATACGTTAAGGTGCGTAAGCAATTCTTGCTCAATTTGGTCTTTGATTTTGAGCCTCATACTCGTTCTGATTACATCAGAATGTTGAAATGTTTTCCATCTGGAAGCAGAGACAAAATGCAAATGGACAACAAGTGCAAAACATGGGGCAACTAATAGAACACTCTTGAGAATGTCATTACAATACAAAATTATTTGATCAATTAATGTCCTATTAAACTACTATATGCTCCTAATATAATCTGATTGTTATATAAAAATGCATATTAACGTTAAACCCCAGCACATGGGTTTCACCAAAATAACTTTTCATTGACAAGAAAAATGACTATTATCAACCCTCTATCTTGCAAATATTTTTTTTTTCTACGGTCATCCCATATACTCCCATATATGACTTGCTATATATTCAGAGAAAAACAGATAATACAGTCATCGGAGGCAGAGCACGAACTATAAAAAAAATGTTTTGTTTTCCAACTCAATTTTCCATATCTTAACAAATTTGACACGGAAGTGTATGCACATCAAGCAAAATCTAACTTTTTTTATTAGAATTTTAAAGCAGATAAGGATACTTAAGATTTCTATTTCAGCTCCTGATGGAGCTTTAACAAACCACTAGTTTCTTTTTACAAATTAGACACAAAATATTCTAAATTTAATTAACTCAACCTTTAAGGTCTTATAAGCAAAAGCTATTTAACTTGCAATTATCAACTATTATATGTTTTTTCTGCGATAGCAACTCACATTCTGCGGAAGCATATGAGTTTACATATAATCCACGACTACTGCATTTCATGAGCAAATTATGTAAACCATGGAGAGAGGGATTCAAAAATCATGTGGTACAGAGTGAACAAACTTTTTCAAGAGCCAATTTACAATAAGAAAAGACAGCCATTTATGTCATGCAAAGATACTATCAAGCAATTGACAGAAATATCTAACAGTCAAAGCAATTTTATTGAGAAGTGCATATGTTGTTCACAACTCCATCTCGGAACCATACATAAGAGTAAGCCTTGACTGTTGTAATGAAAAACTGTGAGCCATTAGATTACGGAGGTTTAGGCTATGTTTGGTAAAACTAGCTGATAAGCTAGCTTATAGCTTATAAGTGATTTTCAAGCTTATAGCTTATAACTTATAGCTGAAAAGCTAGCTTATATGATAAAAGTATTCGGTAAAATTACTGATAAGCTAGCTGAAATTAAATTTCAACGAGCTTATTTGAAAAGCTACCCAAAGAAACTTATGAGATAAGCTAGCTTTTTAGAAAAGCTCGTCCTAACAAACGAAACTTAATTGAATACAAGAAACTTATAAGCTAACCAAATAAGCCATAAGCTAGCTTATTTATCTACCAAACATAGCCTTGTGACAATTTTGATGACTTGACCCCTGATCATTATAACAATATCTAACCAGATTTGAGTGTTATCGTGAATTATACCTCATTGATAGAAAGTGAACAGTCAATGGCTCCACCAAAATCAGAACACATACAAATCACAAAATGATCTGGCATAGACTGTGTGCAATGCTTTTCGAAAATTGGCCTGAAATATGGATTTGATATAAGAACTATGGTCATACCTATAGGTTGTTTTATCTATGCCAACATCCAAAAACACTCTATTCGTTATCTCCTATACCTGTTCCAGTGTTTCCACCTCTCGGACATACAAATAGAAGAAATTAGAAAAAAACAAAAAATGAATGCTCCACAATATAGGTTAAAGATGGAAAAAAAACCAATGCCTCAAATTCAAGATAATTTTACATGATATGTACCAAGTACTTAGTCATTTAGTTTCTACGATGTTTCTTCAGAGTCCTATTACGTCCGTTTATAGAGATTTCAATTTATGTTCTTAGTGTTATAGGTGGTTGGCAAGGATGCATATGCAACAACTGTTTTCCATATGCTAAAAAACAACAATGATCACATATCCAATTCTCATTTCTCACTGTTCAGAATGCCCCTTCTATTTTTTTTTTTTTTTTCTTTTCCATTTTTTGCAACTCCACATATGCAATCCAATGCAGTGAATCAAAGTACTGGTCTTCATTTCTACAACTCAAATCACTCGACTCATTATCACTTCATATGAGCAGTTCATAGCTTTTCATCAAATGCCACAAAGGTCCAATTCTTCATTTTTTTTCCAACAAATTAGAAACTGCAATTTACACTTCCCACGCCCCACCGGCAAAAAAGCCAAGACTACAAATCCCAAATAGACCCAAAACAGATGAACTGGCACAACTGCTAAATCAGCTCAATCACTCGGCTCAATCATCACAAAACAAAAACACAAAGTGGAATCAATCAAATCACACAACATAAGATGCTAAGGCTCGAAAAACATTAGGAAAAGAACATGATATTGTTACCTGTGGATAGAAGGAAAGAGCGATGAAAATGAGAACTAGAACAGCTAAAAAACAACTCAGCAAAACGGAGATCTCTCGTCGCAATTCTGGATCGTTCATCCCATTGCCGCCATTAAACACTGAACATATAACGCATAAGCATAATTTTGCGCGCGAACTCCACGAGCAGTGAAAAGAACGAAAACAGTGACTGTGAATGAGACACTCCTTTTGTGCAATTGTTATTTTCTCTCTTTGGGATGTGTTAAATTTTTATTCTTTTGGGTCCAAAGTTGAAATTGGATTTGGGCCTGATGGTCTGTCTTGATGGGTTATACAAATGGGCACAAACCTGCATGAGAAAATGAGAAAATTTACCCTGTGTACAAATCTCTATTTATTTACATATTTATAAAAATTTCTTATTAAATTATAATATATTAACTTGTAAACGAGCCGAGCCGAACTCATTAAATAAACGATCCTGAAGTCGAGCTCGAGCTCGGCTTGTATATCACTAATACCGAAATGAAGCCGATCCATTGCCCATTTTGTGATCGTTAGGGATTCCTTAAGCATTTTAGACAATGCGTGCAAAGAGGTTACGAGCTCCAGCGCCAAGCATAATCCTAATTCATTGGCGCCAGTTTTATAGACTATAGTCGGAGGCTTGCCTTATTGTGTGTGTGTGTGTGTGTTTGTTTTTTATATGCATTATCAGGTGGAATGAGCGTGTAACAATATTTTGAACTCTAATGAAAAGCGAAAAAAGTTGCGAAAATTGCAATATTAGTCCATTGTCTTTGGTCATTTTCCATTTTTGCACGCACTCGGTACAATAATTTCTAATTTTATGCAAGTTTCGCCCTTGATCTTTTGTCTGTTTCTCATCTTCGTCCATTAACTTTCCAGATGTCGTCTAGTATTTTATCGAAAGTTGGATCAAGCGTGCTGTGTGATGTGGTACTGATATATTGGTCCCTCGTACAAGCATGCAAAGTTGTAATAATGGTCATATAGACTGGGGAACTACCATGAGCAAGTTCTATTGCCTTAAGAAACCATGCCCACATTCATACAAGTCTCATACGTTTTTCCCATTATGATTATTAGTCTTGTCCTCGTGAGATACTTTTGGTACCTTTTGTCAATCTATGCAAATCCTCGGGCTTAAAGGTAAATTTTGCAATTTAGATTTAATTTGGAAATTTCAGTAATCTCGTTAACTCCACAGACGTATCAAAAGTTAGCTCACTCGAATATTATTACTCGATATCGATTTCGTAATGTTTAAAACTGTCGAGTTTGATGACAATTTTAGATGCAAATTAGAATTTGGAAAAGAAAATACGATAAAAAATCTCTAGATTTATGAGGCTATTAAATTTTTTAGTTGGTCTTTTGTTAGGCCCAACTTAACCATTAACCCGACATACTATTTTTATAAATATGCATACTTTAATTAGAAAATATCATACTTTCAGAAACATCATAACATAAATATGATATTTAATAATATAAGTATTCATTTTTGTTCAAGTAGTATGACGAGTCGATCCACTCAAAAATTACACTGTGTCACACTATAATTTGTATAAAAGAAATTCAATAGACAAATTATATTGCACCACAATATTCAATGATAATTTAAAATGATTCTTTAACTACAAGTACAGACATAAACACGGGTGCACGAGGAGGTAAGTCAATTGTCCTTTTATAGGTGTGTACCTATTTCCCTCGACTTAAGGGAGTGTTTGTAAAAGAATAAATTCACTCAAATTAACTCAAATGAAGTTTTTTTAGTTAACTATAATTAATTTAGAAAAAGTGTTATCGTTAGTTGTTAGTAGAATTTTGAGTTTATATTAAAATAATATTTAAAATAATTAAAATAGATTTGATGTAACAGTAGAAGAGAGAGATATGGAGTGATGGCTAGTTAAAATTATGTGAGTAGATGAATAGTGAATTAAATAAAGTTGATATGATGTGTAAAATGATTTATTGTTATTATTTAATTATATTGATAATATTGAGGATAATGTGGTTGAGTTAAATTTTGAGTATAAATTAATATGGATTGAGTTTATTCTTTTACAAACATAGCCTAAATCAGTTGTATTGAAGACCAAGTTACGGGAATTAATCACAACCTTCTATCATAAATCTCTTCCCTAATTATAAGTTGCCACTACTGTGTTTGGTAAGCCAAATAAGCTAGTTTATAGCTTATTTGGTTAACTTATAAGCTTCTTGTATCCAAATAAGTCGCGTTTATAGGACGAGCTTTTTTAAAAAGTTCGAGCTTATCTCATAAGCTACTTTAGGTAGCTTTTCAAATAAGTTAGTTGAATTTTTTATTTTAGCTAGTTTATCAGCTAATTTTACTAAACATTTTTATCATATAAGCTAGTTTTTCAGTTATAAGTCATAAGCTATAAGCTATAAGCTCAAAAATTACATATCAGCTATAAGTTAGCTTATCAGCTATCAGTTAGCTTATCAGCTAGTTTTATCAAACATAGCATAAATAAAGTTCAATCTTTAGTTTGCCAGAAAGTGGAAACCATTGGATGTGTCAAGGTCAAGAGTTTCGATTTGATATATGCCGAAAATAAGGATTAGATATGACTAAATAAAAATAGAAATAAAGAAATAAAATGGAAACCCTAAAAAAATATTAGGTGAAATTGGTGAAATATAAATATTAGTATACCGAATTGCAACTACTTAAAAGTTAGAGGCAAAATGAAACCCAACAAAAAATAGTGATCAAAATCAATAGAAGACTTGTAGACAAGTCGATCAGGATCCTTGGTTTATTTAGGTTTGACATATTTTTCTATACTTATGCAAATGTAATATTGAATCCCAACTATGTGATTATGTACAAATATCACCAAATTTGACATACTTTTCCATACTTATGAAAATGTAAAATTGAATCCTAACTATGTGATTATGTACAAATATGTATCATATATTGTAACAAGTTGTTAAAAAACATTGTCCTAGCTAATATTGTTATAAAGTTTTAATCAGGTAACAACATGTGTATATAAATGAAAGAAGCAAAGCCTTTTTCCCCCCTCTTTTTGTGGTAGCATGTGAATTTTCACGGTTCTCCCTAACAAACTACTGCTCCACTTGTGAGTGTGTCTTCAATATTGTTGTCTTTTTTTTCTGTTTGTTTTCTAACACCAATCCTTTTTTTACTTATTCTTTGCTGCTCCATTTTGTTTTCTAACACCAATCTTTTTTTACTTATTCTTTGCAGCTCCATTTGGTTTTAATATGCAAAAGCTAAAGAGCATGGAAAAACTCCCTATACTTTTGCTCTTCTTCCTTGGCTCACACCTTCTCACTTCATCGTCTTACGGTTCTCTCTCTCTCTCTCTCTCTCTCTCTCTCTCTCTCTCTCTCTCTCTCGTTTTAAAAGTAACGACACTTGTCTATTGCAGATGGGCCACTCTACGATTCATCGGCTTACACCGAGGTACACTACACACACAACTCTTTTCTTCCGAGTAACAAAAATCCCCTTGAGGTTCTGCGAAATCATAAGAGTTACCCTAAAGTCGAAACGAAGATAATTGTGAATGTTCCCAATTGCTCCCTTTTTTTCTCTATATTAATGCAAATTTATTAATGAGATATGCATATTGTGCACAGTGTAAACCGCAACCCGAGGAGCCACTCTACAATGGAGGGATGCTCGAGAATCAAATCCCCGAATTTCGACGTTTGAATTCGAGCGATGGCATTCGAGTTAACATTTCACCTTCGTTTACACTTCAAAATCTTGATCAAGGCACCCGATATTGTTTTTCGAGTTGAGTTAGCCTCTCTTTTTTTTATATATACGTGATATTCACAGGCGGTTATTTTCTGTGCTCGTTTATCAGCATTAACATTTCAAGATTTCGTTCGATCACGAAAACAAACAATAAAAGTCATCCTTTTTTTAAAAAGATTTTGTTAATTTAGCTAATTAGGCTAAAGTTCCCCATTGTCACGACAGTTTGGATCAAAATCAACGGTTCAGATTCGAGCCTCATAAGAGCAAGCCTCGTGACCGAAGAAACTACACTTGAATGCATAGGAACCGTGATCGCAAAACAGAGGTGTTGGTCGTTTCTCAAGGGCGGATTCATACTCTCATCCCCATCAAAATCATCCACACTTTATATCAACGTAAAACATTGCTTTCGTTTCAATTCACGAAACAAATTTCTCCTTAGTTTACCGATTATTGCTAAAAGAAAAATTTTAAAAAGAAATTATCCACAGAACACGAGCGGCCTAGATATCGACATAGAAATCGCAAGTGCCTCTTTGCAGCCGTTTACCGAGCATCAATGGAGACTCAATCAAGAAGCAAAAATCAATGAGGTAAACATTAAAACAAAACAAAATTATGTGTGTGTTGATCCAACGGTGAAAAATCCAAAGATTGCAGTGCAGTTACAGATAGAACCTTAAACAAAACAAAATTATGGTTTCCTCATTTGAATTACTAGACCTGTAAACGAGTCGAGCCGAGCTCGAGCCCTTAACGAGCTAGAAATCGAGCTCGACCTCGGCTCGTTTAAGTTCGAGCCTTAATTGGCCGATCCCGAGCTTTAACAAGCCGAACTATAAAAAATTATATAAAAAATCTATTTTCCAGCCTTAACAAGTCGAGCTAGACACATTTAATTGAACAACGCTCAATTACCATACAGGCAAGAAAACGTGCAATCACCATTCACATTTCGGACGAAAAGGGCATAGCATTGCAAGGAGCGGAAATCAGAATAGAGCAAGTCTCCAAAGAGTTCCCATTTGGGTCCGCCATAGCCAGCACCATTATAGAAAATCCACCATATCAGGTTTGTAATCTAATTAATTTTGTGCAAGAAAAAAGAGTCTTTTTTTGCTAAACAAATCACAATCTTTACTCCAATTCTAATTTTAAGCACAATTTTTCTGTTTATACAAATTAAGAAAAGAACTGCAACTTTCATCATATGCAAACTAAACATAAAATGATAAAAATTATAAGTAAAAAAAAATAAATATATATATATATATATATAACCACTTTGATAGATGACAGTAATACAAGACCAATTTTCAAGCATAGCCATTGTCCTAAATCCTTAAAACTAAAACAGTAAATCTTATATTATTGACGCTTCAAACTAAAAATTCTAGATCCTCTATAAATGTTGAGAAAATAAAAAACTCAGTAACTTAAATTACAAAAATCGAAAAATTTATTTGATTTGTTTTGCAATTTTGCTGAAAAAAATAATAATGCGACTTTTCACTTCAAACCTCTCAGAAATGGTTCCTGGACCGATTCAACGCGGCCGTTTTCGAGAACGAGCTCAAATGGAACGCGACGGAGCCCGCGCGTGGGCGCGTGAACTACACCACCCCGGACCAAATGCTGGCTTTCGTCCGGGCCAACCGGATCACGGCCCGCGGCCACAACATCTTCTGGGAGAACCCGGAGTACACTCCCGGGTGGGTCCGAAACCTATCGGGTCCGGATCTCGGGTCGGCCGTGTGCGACCGGGTCCGGAGCCTGCTGACGCACTACCGGGGCGAGTTCGTTCACTGGGACGTCAGCAACGAGATGCTCCACTTCGACTTCTACGAGCGGCGTCTTGGGCCCGCGGCGGCGCTGGGGCTGTTCGCGGCGGCCCACCGGGTCGACCCGCTGGCCACTCTTTTCATGAACGAGTTCAACGTGGTGGAGACGTGCGGCGACGGCAAGTCCACGGTGGACGCCTACGTGGAGAGGCTGAGGGGGCTGAGGGCCGGCGGGGTTTTTATGGATGGGATTGGGCTGCAGGGACATTTTGATGAGCCCAATGGGCCGCTTATGAGGGGAGTGATTGACAAGCTCGCGACGCTGGGCCTGCCCATTTGGCTTACTGAGGTGGATATTAGCGACAAGTTCAGCAAGGAGACACAGGTGAGTGCGTTAACTTTTTTTTTTTTTCGTTAAAAATGAATAAATAAATAAAAATGGATAGTTTATTTTTAGTATGGAGCTGAGGATCTAGGCAGTAGTCCAAAATTGGTAGCATAAGGCAATCAAAATTATTATTAGTGCAATTTAGAAATAAAATATAAATTAGTTGACAAAAGTGATCAATTTTTAATGGATTATAATGAAATTTTGTATTGGTATTTAGGTGACTACTCTTGTCTCTTGATGCTTACAAATCTGGCTCGTAGTCTGACTTGAAATATGGAATAATTAACAGCGTGTCAAAATTTAATAAATAAAAGAAAAATATACATCAACTTATTGAAAAATAGTGGCTCTTAAAGATCTAATTTGTAACATTTGAGGAAAATTTGAAAATTCTTATATTATCATGAACTCACTCATAAACCTTAATTGAGAGCAGATGTGAACATATCAAACGACAATGTCTCACTCGTGCACTTTAATCGAGATTAAATGTCAACATATTCAAACGCCACATGACCTACAAGAGAATTTGGTTGAAACAGAAAAAAAATATAAAAACAATATGTTAAATAAGAATATCAACCGCATTTGTCTTTATTTTTCTCAATTTTAACATGTATGTCGTCTTCCTTCTCTCCACGTTAATTAACGAGCCGTTAATGTAAGCATCCAACGTCCAATTTGTTGACTGCGCGTGCTTATATATTTGCAAAAATGGGAAATTCGTGTTTTCATTACTAATAGTGAATGGTCAGTGATTAAATTACAATTTTAGCCATATATATATATGGTAATTTGAATTTCAACTTAGTTATCACAAATCAATTAGACAGAGTTACATTCATTTGAAAAAACTTTAATTTTTGTAGTAGGAAACACAAAATTTCTCTATAATATAATAATTATTTGCTGAGGAAGTTATAAAAATTATTCATAAACTACTAATTTCTCTATATATGTAGATAATTACCACAATTATGTTGACTCATGTGATTATTCTACACATGTATTTCACAGGCGATCTACCTAGAAGAAGTTCTGCGAGAAGGCTTCTCACATCCTGCGGTCAACGGCATAATTCTCTGGTCGGCCCTTCGACGAGGCGGCTGTTACCAAATGTGCCTCACAGACGGTGACTTTAACAACCTCCCGGCTGGCGAAACTGTCGATAAGCTCCTAAAAGAATGGAAAACCGGAGATTTGGAGGGAAAAACCGACGAGCATGGTTCTTACAGCTTCATCGGGTTCTTGGGTGATTATAAAGTCACCGTAGGTTATAGAAACAACACGGCCAGCTCGACTTTTTCACTCTCTAGAGGAAGGGAGACCAAACACTTTAACATGCAGTTGTAATTTCCATGAAAGTGTTACAAGGATGATTGAATTTGAATCTATTAAGGGAGTTATTACTTATTTTATTAGTTGGAAGTTGGTTAAT